AGCTATAGCTATATCTGAACCGATCTTCACCAAATTTGACATACTAGACGTTTGGTGCACAATCAAAAGTAAATCGTTCGAAATTATATATGGGAGCTATATCCAAATCTGAACCGATTTCGATAAAATTTAGCAAATGTATTTCTGAGCTGTATTTGATATATTTCCCCAAATATTGTTGTAGTGCATATTACGGCGGCGGTGGACAAAAATAACAAATCGGATGAACAATATATATGGGAGCTATAGCTATATCTTAACCGATTTCGATCAAATCTAATTTGGTTGTATGTGCAAAATTCCATACTATTCGGGCTGATATTACACGTTTGGTGCACAATAAAAGGCAAATCGGACGAAGATATATATGGGACCTATATCTAAATTTTGACCGATTATCTCCAATTTCAATAGGGTTCGTCCTTGGGCCAAACAAAAAATCTTTGCAAAATTTCATCTGGATCGGGCAATAAATGCGACCTGTACTTTGTTTACAAAAATACATGGACAGATGGACAGACGGACGGACGGACATGCATAAATCGACTCAGAATGTCATTCTATGCAGATCATCAAAAGGAACTATGGGTCTATCTCGTTTCCTTCTGCCTGTTACAAACAAAAATGCACAAAGACATAATACCCTGACCACCTTGTGGTGTAGGGTATAAATACACTTTAAAAATGGACACATATAAACACACATACATATATACATGACTTCAAAGATTTTTTTCACTATAGCTGTAAGAAGGGCTTCTTCGGTTCCTAGTGACCTTTTTACTTTAAGAGACAATATTACCTGATTTTAGACATAACAAAGTATATATATATTCTTGATCGGCGTAAAATTCTGAGACGATTTAGCCCTGTCTGTCCGTCCGTCTGTTGCAATAATGCTAGAGTCAAAGCTAATTAAGATAGAAGGCTAAAATTTTGCACAGATAAGTCTTTTGTCTACAGCCAGGTCAAGTTCCCGCATATAACGGTACCCCCGATATTGGGTATTTTAATGATTGTAGCCAAATTTTTCAATGAAATTATCTGAAAATCCATCAAAGGAGTTTCTTCTAAGAACTTTACCCCCTGGAAGAGTATTGTCTAAATAGGTCCACGATATCGTATATCCCCATATAACGGTACCTCCCTATATTCGGTATTCTGAAGATTTTAGCTACATTTTTCAATGGAATTGTCTGAAAATCCACACAAAGAGTTCCTTCTGAATACTTTACTCCCTGGAAGAGTATTGTCCATATAGGTCGACGATTTCGTATAGCCCCCATACAACGGTACCCCTCGATATTCGGTATTTGGAGGTTTAGTCACATTATTCACCGAAGTTGTTTCAAATTTCGTAGTTAGAGTTCGTAATAGGAACTAATGTCTATGACAGAAAATTGTCTATGCAGGTCCATGTCATTGTATACATTGTATACACCCATATATCGGTACCTCCGTAACAAAAACGTTTATATTGAGAATTTATGTGAAATAGATAATACCAACTATTAACCAAATAATATTGGTATATAAAGCATCATATGACTTAAAAAAATATTTATTGGAGCAATTCAGGGTGAGATAAAAAAAAAACTGCAACAAAGTCAAACGCCATAATTTTTACATTTCTTTTTAATTTTATTGAATGAAAGCAAAACAAATCGGAAATAGGATCAAATTTTAAAATAAGTTTAGATGTGTTCGAATTGGTCACCTTTGGCACGACCTTTAAACGGGCAATGAAACCGTCACACGCTGCCCGAATGTTGCTCTGCGGTATTTTGGCCTATTCAAGGCGAAGCGCTTGTTTGAGGTGATCGACACTTTGGTATTTTTGGTGCGCTGGAAATGATACGAGGAACCTCATTTTGTAACCATTCTTAAGTGGCGCGTGCTGAGTGCGATGGTACTGAGTCCTGTTGGAATGTCCAAGATCTGCGGCCAAAATGTTTGCGTGTCCAAGGCTTTAATACACCCTCCAGAATATTTTCACGATAATATTCGGCATTTACTCTGACGCAACGGTCGATTAATACGAGCGGAGTGGGACCATCGGCTGTTATGGCGGCCCACACCATCGCCATGGTCGGCGCTTGAGTTCTAGTGGCCAACTGAAGGTGCCCATTTTCAGCTGACCTCTTTGGCAAGTAAACACGATCATTTTGTTTGTTTACAAACTGCCGGACAACGAATGTTTTCTCATCGGAGAGAACCAAATTCGGCAGTTCACCACTTTCGACCAAGCGAAGCAACTCTTTAGCTCATTTGAGTTTATTTTCTTTCTGTTGCGGTGTAAGTTCTTGCACTTTTTGGAATCTCAATGGCTTTACCCGAGCTCATTTTTCAATATTTGCCGAATGGAATATTGCGATATGTTCCGCTCACAAGCCATTTTCCGGCCACTGCGACGCAGTTTTTTCGAACCATTTATGCTAATGTTGCTGTTTTCTTCCGTCCACTTCCTTAACGTCGGGCTACGCAACCAGTATCACGGTACCAAGCGATGGTACGAGGCACAAAAGATTTATTCGCATTTAAATGCTGGAGTGCTCTAACGATAGCCACCTGTGGTTTTCCAGCCAAATATAAAGAAATCACACTATCACGCTTAAATTCCATCACGAATAAATTTTTTTTTTTCTGGAAAATTCTCACCAAAATGCTTTGGCTTTAATTAGCAATCACTGGAATAGTTTTAACAGCTATCGGACGAGTGGCTTAGAAATGACAGCAATCTGAAGTTGGTTGGAGTTTTTTATCTCACCCTGTAGATATACCGGAACGAATTTCAACAAATGGTAAAATTCGGTTGAATATGAAAAAATCTTTTCAATTTGGGCTGATATTACATATATGGTAATCATTAACCGTAAAATCTGAACCGATATCCATAAACTGTGGCAAAGACATTTTCGAGCAGTATCTGATGCCCGGTATCAAATATCATTGTTGTGGAGTACATATTACGCATGTGAGGGACTTCAACACTAAATCGGATGAAACATACCTATGGGAGCTATAGATATATCTGAACCGATTTTCTCCAAATTTGATGTACTTGCTTCTGGGATGAATTCAGTCCGAATTGCCTTAATGCAGTCCATTTGGGTTGATATTAGCCATTTGGTGCACAAAAAACCTGCAATCGGATAAAGATACATATGGGAGCTATATCCATCTTTATCCGATTGCAGTTGAAGACATATATGGGAGCTATATGAAACGATTCTCACCAATTTCAATAGATATCGTTCTTGGACCAAAAAAATATTGTTTGGAAAATTTCATCTCAATTGGATAATAAATGCGACCTATATTTTGTTCACAAAAATATATGGACAGACGGACGGACAGAGAGACTGACTGACATGCATAAATCGACTCAGAAAGTCTGGGTCTATCTCGCTTCCTTGTCCATGTTACCAGTTATAATACCCTTAACCCTATGTGGTGTAGGGTATAAAAATGTTCCAAATCAAATTGTAATCTCATATTTTACTCGGTTCTGTTGGGAATTAGCTTTCGTGCCTCACAGTGTTATTTAAATGTTGTATATCGCTTAAATTTCAACACCAAAGTTTCCGACTATCTACCAATAAATTACGATCGGATAGTATGTTGCCAGACTATGAAAGAGACTATGAAATGTATTGAATGCTTTTTTGTCAATCGTTCTCAATTAACACATTGTTTTTCTCGTTCGTATTACCACGGTCGTACTGTACTATCACTAAATATATTGGTGTGTGTGTGTTTTTGTTATGCCCTACACCACAAGGTGGTCAGGGTATTATGAATTTGTGCATTTGTTTGTAACAGGCAAAAGGAAACGAGATAGACCCATAGTTCCTTTTGATGATCTGCATAGAATCACTTTCTGAGTTGATTTATGCATGTCCGTCCGTCCGTCTCTCCATGTATTCTTGTGAACAAGATGCAGGTCGCATTTATTATCCGACTGAGATGAAATTTTGCACAGATCATTTGTTTGGCCCAAGGACGAACCCTATTGAAATTGGAAATAATAAAATTTAGATATAGCTCCCATATATATCTTCGTCCGATATACCTTTTATTGTGCACCAAACGTGTAATATCAGCTCAAATAGTATGGAATTTTGCACATACAACCAAAATACGCCTGAACATAAGTATGCCAAATTTGATCGAAATCGGTTCAGATATAGCTATAGCTCCCATATATATTGTTCATCCGATGTGTTATTTTTGTCCTCCGCAGTCGTAATATGCACTCTGTAACAACAATATTTGGGGAAATATATCAAATACAGCTCAGAAATACCTTTGCAAAATTTTATCGAGATCGGTTCAGATTTGGATATAGCTCCCATATATAACTTCGTCCGATTTACCTTTTATTGTGTACCAAGCGTCTAATATTTGTCCATATTTCTAGGATGACATTTAGCACATGCGACCGAATAAAGTCTAGAAGGTAGTATGCCAAATTTGGTGAATATCGGTTCAGATTTAGCTATAGCTCCCATATATATTGTTCATCCGATTTGTTGTATTTGTTACCCACAGCCGTAATATGCACTCCGTAACAGCGATATTCAGGGGAATATATCAAATACAGCTCAGAAATATATTTGTTAAATTTTATCGAGATCGGTTCAGATTTGGATATAGCTCCCATATATATCTTTATCCGATTTCAAATTAATTATGCACCATATGCGCAATACAATTCCGAATTTAAAAGGTACAAATGCTTCGGCATATTTAGTCCTTTGAACTTTAAATTATAATTATAATCATAGCGTGTATGATTGAATTCTCCCATAAAAACTTTTAATTGTTATGTGGAGCTCTACTAAATTAGCAAAGTGGTGTAGGGTATCATAAAGTCGGCCCCGCCCGACTTTAAGACTTTCTTTACTGTTTTTTTTTTAATTTTTCAATAAACATAAATCATCTGCAGAATATTACGTGTATAAAGTTTTATTTATGTTTTACACAACTCCATGACTTACCATTGAAATCGGTACGACAAAGCACATCAAATACAGCAACCAGCTTGGCATCGTCGATTCATGATAGGGATGCATTAACGAATCATCATTGCAAAAGAAGCCGCGCTTATACGCCTCACCCCAGAGTGTGAAACTGAGAATGGGTAAGCCAACTGAAAAGAAGAAGAAAAAAGAAAAAAAATCAAAATCAAAAACATAAACATTAAAACATCTCAAGTTTTGATATTTGTTTTCTTCAAAGTTATTCCTTTTATGAAATAAAAATTTATCTCTTCGAATATTTACAACCGCCACATAAAACTCCCATAAATAATATGCCGCACAGTTGCTTTTTTTCTTTCTTTGCTTCCAAATCTCAATTCATTTCCATAGCCATTTTTCTGAATGGTTTAACTAAGCCAAGCCAATAATACCGCCAGGAGATTAAGCCAATGTTTGGGACGTCATTAAATGAAGTATTTCTCACACGTCGCTGGTGGCTGAATGGCTGGCCGCTTGGCCGCTTGGCTATTTGGATGACTGGTGGCCACAGCAGCCACACGTTATTGTATGGCTGACATATGAGGTAGTCGGACAACCAGCCAGCCCCAGTGAGTGGCAGTCAGGTGTTCGTTCACATGTGGCCACCACAACACACCAACCAACACCATTCCTTCCATTCACCATAACCCATAGCTATGGGTATCGGTTTTCAGTTTGATAATGACACCAATGGTCTGATCTCAACCAACACCACTAACAACAACAAAGATACTAAGTAAATCGGCCCATAAACATTGGTAAACAGGTAAATATTTTTTACCAATTACATTGAGGTTTCGACTTGAGTTTGACATGCAAATAAAGATCCTGGTGCGATATGTAATTCGAGATCAAATGTAGAGCGTGGATACACGCTGCTTGTATGTATGGATGTTGAAACGGAAAGGGCACAGGTTAAAGATGTTGTGTTTGTAAATATAACAAAAGCTTCAAATGAAATAAATTGTCACATTTGACAGTTTGTGAGTGTCAAATGGAAACATGAGAGAAGATGTAGGAAAAAAGATATCATCAGGATAGAGTTTCTAATATCCAATACTCCCAATGGGAAAATATACCGACATTTAAACGTGTTCAATTGAAGCGGCATATGGTTATTTAACCATTTTTATGGTAGTTTTTTGAAAGTTTAATCGATTTTATATCCTCCACCATAGCATGGAGGTTACATTATGTTTGTCATTCCGTTTGTAACACCTCGAAATATACAATTTAGCGATGTCCGTCCGTCTGTACGTCTGTGGAAATAGAAAGAATGTGGTGTAGCCGGTACCTTCCTATTTTCGGTATATTGGTGATTTAAGCGACATTATTCACCGCAAATGTTTCAAAATTGTCCACCTTCGAACAGCCCCCATATAACGGCACATCCCATGATTTTAGCGACATTCTTCACCGGAATTGGTATTTGAAGTTCGTAATGGATATTACAGCCTATTACAGAAAATTGACTGTGCAGGTCCACGCCTTCGTATAGCCCTCATATAACGGTACCTCCCTATTTCCGGCATTTTGATGATTTCATAATTTCATTAAAAGTGTCGGCTTGCCGAACTTAAATCCCTTTTAACTTGTTCTTTTTATACCCTCCACCAAAAAAAGTATGGAGGGTATATTAAGTTCGTAATTCCGTTTGTAACTCATCGAAATAATCATTTTAGACCCAACAAAGTATATATATTCTTGATAAGCGTAAAATTCTAAGACGATTTAGCCCTGTCTGTCCGTTTGACCGTCTGTTGTAATCACGCTACAGTATAAACGAATTAAGATAGGAAGTTAAAATTTTGCACCCATCTCTCTTTTGTCTGCAGGCAGGTCAAGTTCGAAGATGGGCTATATCGGTCCACGATATCGTATAGCCCCCATATAACGGTACCCCCGATATTCGGTATTTTGATGATTTTAGCCACATTTTTCAATGGAATTGTCTGAAAATCCACACAAGTAGTTCCTTGTGGGTACTTTATACCTCGGCAGAGAATTATCTATATAGGTCCACAATATCGTATAGTACTTTATACCTCGGCAGAGAATTATCTATATAGGTCCACAATATCGTATAGCCCCCATATAACGGTACCCCCACGGTATTCGGTATTTTGATGATTTTAGCCACATTTTTCAATGGAATTGTCTGAAATTCCACAAAAGGAGTCCCCTGTGGACATTTTACCCCCTCAAAAAGAATTGCGTATATATGTCCACGATGGGGGGATATACCCATATACGACATGGGGGATATACCCATATAACTGTACCCCCCGATATTCGGTATTTTGATGATGTTAGCCACACTTTTCAATGGAATTGTCTTAAAATCCACACAAGGAGTTCCTTGTGAGTACTTCACCCCCTGAGAGAGAATTGTCTATACAGGTCCACGATATCGTATATCCCCCATATAACGGTACCCCCCGATATTCGGTATTTTGATGATGTTAGCCAAATTTTTCATCGGAATTGTCTGAAAATCCACACAAGGAGTTCCTTGTGGGTACTTTATACCTCGGCAGAGAATTATCTATATAGGTCCACAGTATCGTATAGCCCTCATATAACGGTACCCCCGATATTCGATATTTTGATGTTTTTAGCCATATTTTTCAACGGAATGTCCACAAGAGGTTCTTTGTACACAAGGGGTTCTTTGTGAGTACTTTACAACCCGAAAGAGAATTCTCTATATAGGTTAACGATAACGTATAGCTCCCATATAACGATACCCCTCGATATTCGGTATTTTGAAAATCCACACAAGGGATTCCTTGTGAGTACTTTACACGCAGACATAGATTTGTCTTTATAGGTCCACAATATCGTATATCCCCCCATATCGGCACCTTCCTATATTAGATACTAGCTGAACCCGGTGCGCTTCGCTACCCCTTTTGATTTTACATGCATTCAAAAATTTTATTTACGAATACATGTTGGTTAAAAAAAACAAATTTAAAAATTAAAAAAAAATTGTTGCACTACTTTAATGCGTAAATAACCAAAACTATTAGAAAAGCAGTAACATGACATACATACACGAAGGGTTTGTCCTTCGGATTTATTTATTTCATAGCAAATACCAAGGAGTGCAGTAAACTGCAATCTCTTAAAGTTGAGTGGCATTTCTATTGCATTAGTGAATTCGAGATAGCAACATACTTCGCCGTAATAAGCGTATTTCAAATTAATTGTTGTGTTGTTTTTTAGTGTTAGCCTAAGGCGTTGTGGGTCAATGGTTCTTATTAAAATCATATCCCAATCTGATCCGATTTAAATATAATTTAAAAAAAAATATTTTTACACCAAATTCCGCCACACCTTTCATATTTCATTGAAATTGGTGCATCAAATATGTGAAATCGGCCGAGAATATATATGGGAGCTATATCCAAATCTTAACTAATTTCCAATTAATTTGTCACATTTATTATTGTAACCAAATTCCGCCACACATTCTGAATTTCATTGGTATCGGTCATATATATCACGTTTGGTGCATATACCCAAACCTCAACTGATTTCAATATAATTTGGCAATTTTTTCTGGTGCCAGATTTTATCTCTCTCGCTTTGGGTGCATCAAATATGTGAAATCGGCTGAGTATATATATGGGAGCTATAAACAAATCTGAGCGTATTTGAATATGATTTGTCAAATTTATTTTTGTACCAAATTTAGCCACTCATGCCGAATTTCATTGGAGTCGGAAATACGTATCGTGTTTTGTGCATCAAATATGTGAAATCGGCGGAAAATATATATGGGAGCAATATCCAAATCTGAACCGATTTTTATATAATTTGACTAATTTATTTTCTAATCAAAATCCCGTTACATATTCCAAATTTCTTTGGAACCGAACATACATATCGTGTATGGTGCATAAAATACATGAAATCGGTCGAAAATATATATGAGAGCTATATCCAAATCGGAACCGATTTTAATATAATTTGACAAATATATATTTGTTTTAATTTCCGCTACACATTCCAAATTTCATTGAAATTAGAGATACATAGCGTGTTTGGTGCATCAAAAAAATGAAATCGGTTGAAAATATATATGGGAGCTATATCCAAATCTGAACCGATTTCAATTTAGTTTGACCAATTCATTTTGGCTCCCAATTCCGTTACTTATTTTAAATTTCATTACAATTGGAAATACATATCGTGTTTGGTCCACCATACATGAAATCGGCCGAAAATGTATATGGGAGCTATATCCAAATCTGAACCGATTTCAATATAATTTGTGAAATCAATTTTTTAGATAAAATCTATCAAAATGGTCAGGCTTATCCCTTTATTGTTGTTTTTATAAAAACAACGTTTGTTTATTAGTGGAGAACGATGGTAATGTTTACCAGGGGGTAAGGCAGGGAATACCTAGGTTTCGGAAAGAGCCACCAATCCTCAGAGCCACCAATCCTCATCATAATAAACAAACGTTGTTTTTATAAAAACAACAATAAAGGGATAAGCCTGACCATTTTGCAACAACAAAATACTACGGTATCCCGAACAAAAAAGCCACACTGTTCTATTTATAGACAACGCACGGTCGACGAAGGGGTTTTTGTTGTAACAGACAAAACCAACTTACATGGTTATGCTACTTCGTTCAGGTTGAACGAAAGCATAACAAGTGGAGAAAGATGAAAATGTTTATAAGTGCGGTTGTAAGATTTAGAAGACTTTCCAAAAGAATTTTAGTTTTATATAATTCTTTGGTTCCTCTTCTGTTGAGCTTACGATCTCGTCACTTGGGTAAAAAAAAAAAAATGTTTTTTGTCATAGAAGGAGAATATCCCAGACAAAAACAAGGGAACTGATGAGGATTGGTGGCTCTTTCCGAAACCTAGGTATTCCCTGCCTTACCCCCTGGTAAACATTACCATCGTTCTCCACTAATAAATAAACGTTGTTTTTATAAAAACAACAATAAAGGGATAAGCCTGACCATTTTGCAACAACAAAATACAACGGTATCCCGAACAAAAAAGCCACACTGTTCTATAAAATCTATCACACGTTTCAAATTTCATTGAAATTGGGGATACATAGCGTGTTTGGTGCAACAAATGCTTGAAATCGGCCGAAAATA